ATAACCATCGAGAAATAAATACCCGAAAGCATATATAGGGGTGAAAGACACGCGCGCGCCTAGTAACTCGCCTGACAAACAAGGAGCGGACGCGAAAGGGAGAGAATGCACTGTTTAAAGTGCAACGTCGTCCGCCGGTCGCGAACGTGGTCGTTCGCCGCGGAGCGGTCTTTCCTCACCCCGCCACCGACGATTTCTCTGCCCCCACCAGTCGCCGCATCACCGTCTCTCTCCGTTTCTCTCCGAACCTAACCACCCCCGCGACGAGCACGGTCTCGGTAGAGACCCTCTCCTCCGCGACCCTCGTGGCATGGCCCTGGTCGACCGAACGAGGGAGAGAACCCTTCCTCCCTGCCGCCAGAGCGCCTACGCCTCCCGCGTTGCCCCGGCAACCCCGGCTTGGGGTTGGCCTCCGCCTCTTCCGTGCTCCATTCACGGCAACCACCCGTGTTCGTCCCGCGTCGTTTCCGCGGAGCAGCTTCTCCTCGTGCACATCGACACAGCTACGGTCAGAGCGAGTGGGCGAACGAGAAAACGAGAGAGAGAGAGAGAGAGAGAGAGACAGGCTCCTTCTCCTCTTCCTCCGGTCGCGCTTCGCTACCCTGCCACGCCGAACAGCTTCAACTCGGGTCCAACCCCCCGCTGCACGCCTCGTTCTTCTCTCTTCGCCCTTCTACTAGCCTCGTTTCGCGTCGGGGAGAAGAACCGAGGAGAGGAGAAGAATGACGCGACTTGGCCGCGATCGTGTGTGCGGAACGGGAAAGAGAGGATCGAGGGAGGACGCCGGCTCCTCTGGAAGCCAACCGGATTAACGTATCCCCGAATAATTCATGCATATTCGCCGTACGAGAAACGACGACGACCACCTTCCGCGGGCCAATTTCAGCCCCGCGTTCCCGCGTATCCACGCTGGTCGTCCTCTCTATGGCGAGCAGCGAGAAGACGCTGTCATATTATATCGTCCTTGTCCGCAGCGACGCGTTGTATTGAGAAAATATTATCGATCGCGAGAGCGCGCGCGCCTGCGACTCGCTCCCGTCCTCCTCCCGGTCCGACCCTGCGGGAGCGGCCCGCGGGGAAGAACGTGAGAATTTCAGCGTGGTCGATCCTCGCTTCCCTCGGTGGGACGACGATGCGCAGTTCGGGTACGTAAGCGAGCACCCGAAGCGAACCGGAAGCGGGCCGCGCAGGTAATCGAAAGCCGGAACGGCAAATTGGGATTGTTAACTCGCGCTACGAGCTCTCTCGGTCAGATGCCGTTTCTAAGAGCATTCTATAACGGAACGTTCTGCGTGCACATTCGAAATTAGCCAAGAATCGTTTCTGCATCGAGATCTCTCTGTTCCGAACAGAAATCATGTCGAAAGATTTTGCTCGTCACGCGAGAAACGAATCAGCGCGTCTACCGCGAGACGAGCCACCCCTCGATTTTCACCCCGGCAGGAGCTGAAAAACGCGACGCGTTCTTTACACTCGTCGAACGCGTCGCGTGTTGCACCTACGTGTGTGCAGTCGAGCGAATCGAATTTCCACGTGCGTGTCAACTGCAGAAGAGACCCGGAGGGGCGAAAGGGGGCAGTGGGACGGTGAGGAAGGGTGACGCGGCAGCGTTCCTCTCTCCGCGTCGGGCTGTGTAGCCCGAAAAAGCGGCGACCCTCTTAACGTCGCCGAGGCAGTCTCTTACGATGTTACGCCGATGGTGAAGGGTGGAACACCCCTCGGGTGGGTGGGTGCGCGCCGCGCCGGCTTTTTCTATCTGAAATAGGGTGAATCGAATTGACGCCGCGTAAGAGGCTGAACGACGCTCGGATTCGATCTTCCGGATGGAGGAGTCGCGAGCATCTCGCGACTTCCTTCCACGAAAGGGAAACATCGCCAGGAGGGGGTTAAATCGGTGGTAAACTCTTATTCCGTTCGCGACGACGACGTTCAGAAGAGGAACATGGAATCCTTGTCGCGAGGGTGCCTTCCCTCAGGTTCTACGACTCCGTTGGAACGCGTCTGCTGATGTTCGCCGATTAAAACGCTGAACTGAACTCTTCACTATCCTCTCTCCAATTGGAAATATGAACCAATGCGCAGCGCGACGTATTTAAGAGTATCTGTGAAAGGACAGACGGTATCGGGACAATTCTCCATTATTCTTTCGCGAACGTTTTGCAACCGGGAACGTTATCGGTAGACCGTGTCATTAATTTCTCTCTGTCGATACACGGTAGAGAGAGACCGGTCGAGGCGCACAATCGAGGGAGAGGAAAAAGGGCGTGCTGATACGCGATTATCGTCTTTAAAACACGGTTTCGCTCGGGTCACTGCCGGTACATGGAAAAGCTCTATATCAGGCCCATAACCACGCGGATTGACGGCGTTCCGGGACAGATAACCCAATTAAAAAGTTACGCGGCCGGGCGTGCATAGGTAGGTTTCTGTCGGCGAAGAAAACGCGTCGCCTTACCTCGTTCCCGAGATAGTACCGTTCGGTACACTTTCCCCAGATTGAAACGAGTACGGCCAGTTTCCATCCCGGGGTGTCGATACCCAGTTATTTCTTTTTTCTTCGATACACTTTTAACAGTTGAACCAGAGCAAACGCGAACAGAACTCATTTTCTCGATTAAAGTTCATTTATTGATAGAAACACTGTTTCTCGCTTATAAAATCTTAAACGACGAGATGTTCCTAAGGAGTAAATCGTCGATTGCCAGCTGTTAATGAATCAATCGCAAAGCGTTCAATCGAACGAATCAAAAGCATCGAACGATTTCCGTGGGAGAGCGGCTGGCTGATGCCGTACCACGCACGTCCGGATCTACTGTGTCGAACAAAGCGGTTTTCAGTCGCTGCCTAAGCCTTAAGTGCGGTACATACGCTTCCCAGTTTATACGAGTTCTACTTTCACCGGTTCAGCTTTTGTCTTCCTCGTATTTATGAAAAAGATTATTATAAAAAAGGAGGACTGCCTGCGTTGGGTCTTGTGTGGTCGTATGCGCATCGAGGTTCGAGCCTCCTCTTTAATCTGAATTCGCGAGCAATGTCTATTTGATTCTCGAAGAGTTTCGATTCGGTACATCGATATTCGGTGGGATTTCATGGTTTGTATATTATTGGGCGAGTGTGGACGGAGCTTTAGGGGGGTTCGCGGCGGTATGCGAGGTTCGAATTCCGGACGTGGAGGAGACAACGCGTACCGGAAAGTAATCACGCGTACACCAGCCGGGGCCTGGCTGGCTACAGAGAGGAAGGCCGATCGATTAGCCTGTATCCGCGATACGTACGCCGACGCCGCGCACCGCAACTACGTGACAAATATTATCGCGATCGACCGACCAGCTGCGTTTGATGTGGACGCGTTTATGAAATGCCGACACGCCGATAATCATGCGTGACCAGCGCCCAAGGCTAAATCCGATTTGCAATATTAAGCCGCTGCCCGTTGTCCACCGGAGACCGAAGCGGGGTCCACGCGTAGACGCGGGGCCTTCTTATCGGACCCGCCTTCTGACTAATTAAAGAAGTCGCGTGGCCTAGCGGAGGTTTCGATCCGAGGGAAAAGATAGAAATGTATTTTTGTACGAGAGAGAATTTTTTACACGGAGAATAGTTAGCGCAGATTGAGAATTTGAATGACAAAAGTGCGCGTCTGTAGGAGATAGTTTCACTGCAATTTCAAATCGTGTTGATCGGCAAAAATTGGATCCGAAGGTAGACACTCGAGGCTAATGGAGCTCCAGATCGCCATGGAGCTCCAAGCCAACACTCGACGCGTCGTTATCGGCGTCGATTTCAATTAATCGTTTCGCCAGAGTGAATAGATACCGGGCCTGTCTATAGCGACAGATCACTTTTTTCTACCATACGATCGGGAACTGTAATACTTCCTATTGATCACTAACTTTTTGTCTAATAATTGAAAAAACAGTTTCACCCTTCGAACGGGATAATTACTCATTGGAAGAACGAGAAATTGTAAAAGTAATAATATATTATAACAACAATGTTATTCGAGTTAACAACAGTATTGCTCGAAGCGAACTTAGGCTTCGCATGGACTCACGATCGACATTTTTCAACAGTTACGATTCCTCGATGACGACGAATCGAGGCACGATCGGACGAGACACCTCGCTAAAGTCAAAATACTAAGAATCGATCTGACCAATCGTGTCGCACGTGTGTCTGTGTCGAAACGGAGAGTGCACGCATCTCTCCGAACAGAGCGTTGATCTTTCGCTCTAGTTACGAAAAAAAAAACCTCGCAAATGTCCGCCTCTCTGGCGTGCAAATTGGAGCACCGATAAACGCGGCTCGCTCGATCTACCCTCTTTCCAAGGGGAACGTCTATTCCGGTAACTGCGTTCCGTGACACGAAGACGAACACGTTCACCCCTCGTGCATCTCGGAGAGCATTTACGCGAACTCGACGATCGTGACAGACGATGCTCATCGATCTCGACGCGAAGACTCAAAATATCGAAGCCAAAGTCATGGCAATTTATTGTACATCTTAATCGTGATCGGAATAAAGAAGTGCACGGAACGGGACTCGAATGTAGGTCATCGATCTACTCAGTGCGTCGCTAAATCCGTGACATCTGTCTCGACCGTCGTCGGTCCAACGAGACTCACGCCCTGACGCTTAGCATGGGAGAGCATCTTTTGCATACGAGCACTGTCTGCACATCCGGCACCGGATAAAGTCTCTTTCCCGCTCCGGTCCGCGAGTCGACTCCCTCTCTCCTTCTCGCGTGTCCTCCTCCTGCCCTGTTCCTTCTGTTACCGACGACACGGTTCTCTCTTTCTGGCTCCCGTGGCGCTCGCTCGCCCGTGTTCCCGTTCTCTCGCTCTATCCGCCCCCGCCCCCGTGGCATGCCAACCAACGAGCCGGGGCCGCTTTCGCTTTGTGCGCGCCGGGGCGGCGGTACATCAAAGCCTTCTAGTTCCCGCTCCGGCCTTTGACGGCTGCGTCGCGGCCGCTCGCTCAGTCATCGCTCGGTAGGCGAAGCCGGCACGCCGTGGATGAGCGGACGCGCGCGCGCGAACGCTCGCCGAATCCTGCGGAATCCTCGCCAGGATCGCCTGGCAAGGAGATTCCCTGAACGTCGTCGACGATGTCGCCCCGTGGCACCAAGTGCACGCGTCTGAACGCGAGGCCAAACGGCAAGAAGTTCAGCCGCGGCTCGAGTCATCGTCATCATCACGATCGTCAGCCGGACCAACAGCACGGACAGACAGAGGCCGTGGCCAGAGAAGAGACAGCGGATGTCGAGGAAAGGAGCACAAGAAATGACGAATCGGTCAACGGAAGCAGCACGACGGCGACGACGACGAGCAGCAGGACGAGTAAGTCCGTGGTAGCGGCGGCGCGCGAGGGTGGTCGATCGTCGTGGCGCATGCGCCAACCCCTGGAGAGCGGCCTCGAGCCCCGTGAAAACGGAATCCCGGTGCAGCGATGGCCGCCGACCAGCGAGCAGCGACGCTGCGATCAGAATCGACCGGAAACGGAACCCAGCCACGGAGATGCGTCCTCGTCCAGCTCGCTCTCCTCGCCGGCGTTGTCCGCCTACACGGATGCCTCCTCTGCAAGATCGACTTCACCGCCGTCGAGCGTCTCGTCCCCGGCGTGTTCGATCTCCTCCGTCTGCACCGGCTTCCGCAAGGAGAATGATCACGAGGAGAACGCCCGAGCGAGAGGCGGCGATCAGGACAGGATCAGGAAACGGAAACAGGAGCGACAGTGTTCCAGAGTATGCGGCGCCAAGGACGACGCGATAACGGACAAATCTGCGACCACCTCGATGTCCACCAGCGTTCCCACCTCCTCGCCGTTCTCGTCCTCCGTCTCCACGACTTCCGACAGGCCCGCCGAGCAGCCGGCGCATCTTCGTTACCCGCCCGTACCCCACACCACGGTCATCGAAAGCCTGAGGAACGCTTTGGAGAGCTACGACCGTAGCAGGATCTACCTCGCACATGTGGCGTTCCTAGATTGGCGGGATTTGCCGGGACGACGCCGCGCCGCCACGGGCAACGACGAGAAGGTGTGGGTGGTGGGGGCTGCGGATCACGAGGGTCATCACAGGACCCGATTACTCGTCACGGGCCGCCACTGGCTACCACGTTGCCTCAGGAGAGTGAACATGCTGAGCCAACCGGTGATCTACGCTGGCGGTGGCAGGGGTTCCCTGACGGTCGACTTGTTCCTTTGGTGGTTTCATCGAGAATTCGCAGTGACCGCGATGGCCATGCACCCCGACGGTGCCATCCTAGTCGCGGAGAGCGCTGAGTACTTGCCGCCGGAAGCTGACTGCGTAGCTGCCGACGGATTGGTCAGGCTGTTCGTGGTACCGAAAGATTGCCTGGAGACAGGGATCGTCATCAGAGAGCTGAGAGTGAGACTGGCAACGGGAATCCTCTCCAGAGCCTGTTACGACGTTTATAAGAGAGTCTCGAACAAGGAGACCAATCGCCTGCACACGTATCTGAAGAGATTCACTCTGAAAGAAGCGTTCGCCGATCTTCACCGAGCCTGGCTCAGCATCAGATCCGACACGTTCGCCAGGAGCTGGATCCTTCCTCGCGATCGCGACGAATCCTCGATCGACTGCTCGACGACCCACGCCGGTCCCAGCTTGTCCTCTCGCGCGCACATCGATCAGGACGACGATAGATTGCTCCTGATAGAGCTGCAGAACGTGGCCAGAGAAATGGGTTTGGAGGTCAACGACGAGGAGCTGAGCAAGTGGATCCTCGAGCAAGGAAACGAGGCGTCGACGCGGCGCGTCGGGAGGAATGAGCTCGATGAGGATCATTGCCGCGTGAAGATCGAGGCGGAGGAGAAGTGGGCCGATTACGAGGTAGGGAAGCAACAAGGGACCGACGCGGAGGACGATGAGGACGAGGACGAAGAGAACGAGGACGAGCCCACCGCGGAAGAGACTGTCGGTCTACTGTCGAGGGTGCTGACTTGGATGGAAAGGGAGCCCTTCGATCCAGGACTGTTACTCACCGTCAGATCGATGCGCGATATCGCCGCACTCATGGTAAGCACCGACTGATAAGAGACAACCACTCGAGGCGTATCGATCGCCGAAGTGAACAGAGAGAGGAAGAGGAGGCGCACTTGCGACCTTGCGAGGCCTCCGCGGCCAGATTGAACTAATTCTCGTCGACGTACTGGTTAGAAAGAGCAGAAGAAAAGGGACGGGGGATGGGGACGCGACGAGTCGCGCGAGAGGACGGTTGAAGGGCCACTCGAATTCGGCGATACACGTAGCTCGGCCCCCCCTGCCTTTCGGAAAAGCCGAACGGGGAATGAAGCCCTCGAACGTTCGAGGACCGCCGTCTTTGCAAATTAATGCTCGAACTCGTCCTCGATAAGCGCGTTTCTCCCCTTCGAGAGTTTATTGAATTGTATATTATATTTTTACCTTCTCGACGGAGAAGCACGACTTTTTAGCCGTCGTCCTTCTCCTTACCTCGTGTCTGCTTCAAACCGGGAGAAACCGAAATGGTACTCGATGTGGATCCAATAAATCAGATACTACTTCTGTGACATAAACTTAATTACGTACAGCGGATAGTTTGATAAATCGAAGTACTCTTTGTTTCGATTATCATTGACTCGTACTACTCGTTTTCGTCCACGATCATTTTTTATTGCACTAATTTCACATGTTTCGTCCGAGCCCACTCGTTCGTTTTTTACGAACGTGTCTCGGAGGCTCGAAATTCAATTAGCGGCAGACGTACGAAAGACGACACACCATCGATCAAACGACGGGACGGAGAAAAGGAATCAATTTGTATCGTCTCACGCAAACACCTGTCGATGCTTCCGGGGGCATCAATTAATTAATTGATATCCCCGGGCGGACTACTAATTACCCGGTTGCATTAACGAAGCATTAATCAACAGGGTATTAATTAATTACTCGATAACGATAATGCAACGTTGACACGCGAGTCCTGTACACCGCGCGTACACGCTTCGACGTCGATTCACATTGCCGTACGGTGCATACGTACGAGTGCATACGTGCGCGGTACTCGTTTCGATTTCGCAACTACACGTCTCAGTGCTAATCGTATCTTTCTCTTCCGGTTTGATTTACAGGCGAGCAAGATGGGCCTGGCGGGGACGCATCCGAGCGGGTTGCCGTTCTTCTGTCCCAACGGGGACCACCTGACTCAACCACCGCCTGCTCATATGGGAATCCCACCGTACGGAACGCTGGACGCAGGCAAAGCAGCCGCGGCAGCAGGTGAGTACTGAATTTCGATCTGTGATAAGTCGAGACTTTTAATTGAACCGAATACCGATGGATGGATACGAATTTCCTTATAGAATTTGGATTTGAATTTCAAATTCGAATTACATCTGTTAAACCTCATTAGTTTTTAATTATAAAGTTTCGTCTTGAGCCGACGAAACAAGACGAATTTTCCACCCTCCTGTTGATTCAATAATTCTTTTACAAAGTTAAACCGCTGGCATCAACGCAAATATTGACAACCCACTCGAATTGTAATTGATGGAATACTTCTCCCTATAACAGAGCAACCAGGGCTCACGCCGCGACTCTTCTCTAATCATTTCATTGTATCGATCCGTGCAAATATTAACGTCGTCTATATTCCATGCGAAACTGCACAAACAAGTCAGGGTAGCCGAAATTACCACGCAAAACAACGTATCCGGTCTTCGTTTTAAAAGCAGAATTTCTGAAACGATAGAGTTCGAATTTCCAATTCGAAATTAAGCATTCCCTCGATCTTGACTAATTCCAACGTCTAAAGCGAGGCACTTAAAAAGTAACCAACACCACTCGTAAAATCCCTCGTCGATCAAACCTGCTGTTTCCAGAATTGTTCCAAGAGTCGTCTCCCTCGGGTCTGCCCCGGGAATTCCGGTTAGCGGGCTGCGCAGTGTCCTTTGCTCTCGAGGCAAATTAAAACTCGTCACCGTCCACGATGGTCCCCGTTGTTGGTAGTCGTGCAAACATTGATATTCCTACGGGGTCCTAATTGAAGGAATATTTCTTATCGAGTCGAGGGTCCGTCGGCGATGCCGAGACTCGAACCGAAGCGAGATCATCCCCAGAGAAGGGACAAAGAGAGTAACAAAGAGGAAGGCCTGAGGGACGGAGAGAGACGGACACGGGAAGTGGCGGTGGGATAAGAGAGAGAAGAGAGGCTCGCGAACTGGCGTCAAGTAGGAGAATAAGAGGAGGACTCACCATTAGGCTAATCAGCCAGGCATGCAGCCTCCCTCTGGCGCCAGGTCAAGGGGGTTTCAACCCGCCCTCTCTATTTCTACAGCTTCTCTCCTCTTCCACTCCCGCCCCCAATGAGACCGCCTCTCCCCAGCCTTTTGGGAACCCTTCGCTATCAACCATCGGCTGTGGATTAACAGTCGATGGCTGAACTATTTTCCCAGTGCACCACCGATTTCCATCCAACGTCGAGTAGTTTTAACCCATTCATCGCTGTGTGAGTCTTCCATCGGGTTTCCAATTAAACGGAAGTGTCGTGTCAAAGTTCGTTCTTAACTCCCACAGTGTAAGGAACGGATGACAGCGATGATACGTGTTTGGGGACTCTGCGAATACTTCGTTCCTCGACGGTGAAATTTTTAGATTTTTTTTAGGAGCGCTAGACGAGATAAAGTTGAAGAGGGATTTTGAAGCACCGCGTGGTTTCGCATTAATTCGGAGGAAATTCTTGACTAACCCTCGAGGTCGATTTTTCTTCCGCTCAGGTAGAAATCTCTTCCCGCGCGTTTTATCAGGTATATGTTTTTGAAGCTATGATTTCCCATCGCTGTTTATTACATTCGATCAGGAACGTTCCGTATATGACTAGCCACTCTAATTACGCCCGATCATTTTCACAGTATCTCGCCCCCGACGTTTTTTTAAGAGAAATAAAATCTGAATGAGAACGATCTCGATTCTCGAAGGGCACCGGATATCGTTTCCGCGTGAGACCCGAGAGGATCGCGAGAACTGCCAAATCCTGTTCGTGTTTGCGCGCGCGCTATCTTTCTCTCCACCGACCACCCCTCCTCGAGGCACCCTCGGCCACGTCCCCCAGGTCCCTAGAATATGTAGATGGGGTTGATAGCGTTTATGCACGACTACGAGTTCGTACGGCGGCTCGGGTTCTTTGTCTTGCAAACGAGCAAGCATTTTCTCCCCTCCTTTTCCTTCCTCTCATCCTCCGCAGCCGCCGAGAGTTCGACCCTCGCTCCTTTCCCTCCAGCTCGACGAGAATCCGACCCTGTCTCCGTTCCTCTCTCGGAGGGTTTCTCGCCGCTGTTCACCAGCCACCCACTCGCTCACCCGTGCGTCTCTCGTGCCACGTAGCACCCGACCGAGAGCACCGTCGCCACCTCTCTCGTTCGACCCTCCTCTTCACCCTGTTCGTCCCCGTCTCCGTTCGTTCTCTACCTGCGCACCTGTCCTCGTCTCTCTCGAATCGTGTCCTCTCCCCGGTTCGAGAGTTTCGAAACAACCCCCGTGGCCGAAACCACCCCTCGCTCTCACGAATCTCGTCGCGTTCTCACTCGCGGGAATATATTTCTAATTAGCACCACTTTTCGCTCCTCGACCGCGTGTTTATTGCAGGATTCCACGGAATCGAGCAAGGCAGAGGGTCGAAAGGATCTCGCCGAGCGCCGCCATTGATCCGCTTAATTTTTCTCTTCCCCCGCGAGCCTCGAACGGCCTCACTTTCGTACGGTTCGTCGCGATTACCGACCGTTTCTCCTCGCTGATTTCTATAGACCGTTTCTCCGTCGTTATCATCGTTACACGATTGCTCACAATTAAATTTCGATATAGTTCTCTTCGGGAGATCGCCTAATATGTTTTTAAAGGGAACCGTTCTCCCGCAACAATGAGCCGATCCGAGCCCCGGCCAGCTCGAGTGAAAGTAAATCGAACCAGTCGATTAATAGACATAATAGAACGTCAAACAAGGGAAGGGGAGTATCATAGTCACCCTCGTGGCAACCCCCCGGCGAGCGGCCGCGGAAGCCACTTGGCCTCTTTCACTGGCTGCCTGCGATTCTTCGAGCATCGTAATCCTTCACAAGTAGCTTCTCCAGTTTTTCTCCCGTGCGTGCGGTCACTTTGACGTCTTCCTCTTCGCGCGTGTCGCGCCGCAAATACACACTTTTCGAGTGTTAAAATACCACTCGGACGCGTACGATCGTTCCGAGAGAACCCGATTCTCGAGACGTTCTCGCGTCAACATGTTTCGTTACTCGCCGCGAGACGAGCTCGAGGTAAAATCAAATTCATTTATATCGAAAGCGACGACGATCGTTCAGAATTTGTCTTTCGGTTTGACATGATTTTCAACAAAGACGGTATGACGTCTAACCCTATAATGTCTGTAATACCCAGACGCGATTAAAGCATCGGTCTAACCCTCGTTCCTTTGACGATTTCATCCCGGAGACCGCAGTTCCTCCCCCTGGTACTCGGTCCCTCGTCTTCCGGCGGTAACTGCGATCGGGTAAATGTTAACGATAGCTTCTAATAGAGCGGAGCAGACGGTCTCGGTTAGAACGAAGCCACTTCCCTGTTCCCTTTCCAATAAAAAAAAGAAAAATAGTCAAAAAGCGTCGAAGTCGTCGACCGAAGGAAGAGAAGCGAGGCGGGAGCTGGAACGAGGGACGGAAAGACAGAGAATATCGCGGTATACGGAACACCGGGAGCTCGAGTTGTTCGAGAATAAAAGAGTAATTTTCCGGGTGGTGAGACCCCGATAATGGGGTTGCAGACTGCCGAGTCGACTGGAAAGTGATTAAGCACACATGACGGAGCCCGCGGACTCGCCAGGATATTACGAGCCACCCCTTTCAACCCGCCCTCTTCCCCAATGGTTCCCTTATATCATCCAGCTTTCTTCCGCCCCGCACCGCTCCGCGGTTCGTACTTCTAATTCTCGGTCCCTTACCTCGTTCGTACGCGGTATCGGACAGATAACGATCCCTTCCTGCGTATTTTCACCAACACCTTTTAGTCAGATTCGTTCGTCCGATCGATACTTGCCGAACGATTTCAATTCTCCCCGAGCAAATAGACAGATCGCGCGGTACAACGTATCGACGGGCTCCCGAAATTCCGACAAACAAGCCGTCACACCCAAAACAATCTCTAAGACCCCTAATCCTCTCAGCGTCCACACTTCAGAGTCCCTCCGCCTCCTCGAGTAACATCAAAACGAAGCTCGTACCCGCCTCACAAACGGCACGAGACCGTCCGGCAATCGAGAGAGCCCCAGGATCTCTTTACGGTCCACCGATAGGCGGTGGTCGTTATCCAGGGGGGGAGACTTGAAGTGGCCCTATCGTGGAAAACCACGCGTTGACCGATTTCGTGAACCGAACGAAAGCCTCCGGGACATGTTCAACCCGCGAAACGTAAAAAGGAACACGAAACGGATGGGTGGAAGGTGAAAAGAGAGTCGGTCCACGACGTCCGAGAGAGAGAAAGAGGGCGACAGTGGAAAGGGGAGAAGTATTGGCCTCGTCAAGCGGTTTCAGGCTTGCCGATATTCCGGCCGCTCCTCGTCGACCCTTATGAAGCCAATTACACTTCGTCTCGCCAAAGGCACCCCACTTATACCCCAGCAGTCGACGTTTCTGGGGCTCCTCGGGGGCCGCGAACGTTTCTGCAGCACGTACCTACCGGTTATGTATTAGATACCGCCACTCCATAAGCCGCGCACCCCTTTTTCGTACCTCGCGTACGTCATCCTGTGCGACGATACACCGGGTTCACGGTAATTGTTCGCGAAATCAAACGAACTTCGATTACATCTCGTTTTCGACCCTTTCAGTTCGAACTTCCATTTCCCAAATCAAATAATCGTACTTTGAAAAATAGTGTAAGGAATGCTTAGATTCGAAGGATAAAATGCAAACGAGTCGTTCTTACGAGGGACGGTTATTGAACTACGGGCAACGATCGTATTTGCGCTGCAAACCGAGTTCGATATTAAAAGGATGTATTGGCTATACACTACAGTCAATCCCAAAAGTTTATGTACCTTAGAAAAACGC